AAAAAAAAAAAAAAAAAAAAAAAAAAAAACAGAATTCCTGCCGCCGAACAATATCCTCGCCGAAGTTGCTCCATCCGATGGACCCCACCGGATACTGCATCCTCAATCGGGCTCCTCATCGCCACTGCACTAGGTGGCAGTACACCAATTCGACCTTTCCACGTCAAGTAGCGAGCCCACGAAGGTCACAGCTCCACCGGAGCGAGTCCAGAGAGACATTCAGCATTTCTGCAACTAAAGGGAGTTATCATCGCGCAGCTTGCACTGTCAAATAAATTTGCATTAATAAACTATGTGACACTATAATAAGGTTCTGTGTTACCGAATTGATACCTACTTAATTAATCTATTTCACGGGCCTCTCAAGATAAGGTGCCAACCTATCTGTATGTACAATTTTATTTTTGTACCTGTTCGACTTGCGAATGCAGTAACATCACTGAGTTTCCTTTCTACACAATAAGGACCTTCCCAACTACTCTGCAATTTAGGAGCTTTTCTTCTTACCCTTCGAGGATTGTACAACCAAACCTTTTGTCCTATTTCGAAATGAATCTGCCTGGCCTTTTGGTCATATCAGGTCTTGGTTCGAGAAAACTTAAGATCGACTCGTTTCCTAACTTGATCGTGAACTTCTTCTAACTTTTTATTTATTTCACTCAAATAATCGTTCGTTGAATTCTCTACTTCAGACTTAGGGGGATCCCCCGAAGCAGATCTACAGGAAGTCTAAGATCTTGAGCGAAATACATTTCCGCCGGAGTAACACCAGTGGCTTCATGTCTGGAAGATCTATATGCCAAGAGATACATCGGAATCCGACGATCCCAATCCTTTTGATTTTTATCAATAAACTTCGCCAAATAGTTTAGAATCGTCTGATGTTGACGTTCCACTTGACCATCCGACTGAGGATGCACAGCAGACGTTCTCGTTTTCTTAATTCCGAGTAATTGTGATAATTCCCGAAAAATCCTAGATTCGAAATTTCTTCCCTGATCTGTATGGACTTCTAACGGGACCCCATGTCTTGAGATAACCTGACTCAAGAAGATCTCTGCAGTGGTCTTTGCCCTGTGTTTGATAATTGTATTCGCTGGATTTGTGCTATTCTTGTATTATAGATTGTGGAAGGTAGAGAAAAATACTTGTGCTTGTATTGAGAACGAACTTGTGGCTTGTAGCTTTCCACGTCCATTTTATTTCTTGGAGTTGTCGTAGGCGCTAGCATCTGTGCCCGCGCATGCATATGTGAGTAAAGGCGAATTACACTGGAGGGATATTCAAAATGATAATGGGTAACAAATCAAGATAACTTAACATATACGCCCCACCTTGAAGGGCTTAACCCTTAAAAAAATTAACGATTAGGATTAAACATATAAATTGTAAAGAAACGGTTGAATAAACAATGTAAATTTTAAGCATGACGAATCTTAAGAGTTAAATAGTATAAATGAAATAACGCAATGCAGCAAATGAAGGTAACAATTATAAGTGTGGTGAATAAACTTAATCGCTATCTGAGTTCAATGGCAACGGACAAAGCTTGACTAAGGCCCGCTTTACAAGGCACCTTTCGGTTTTGATTGTTGCTACTCTTGCTACGCGATCAGTGCCCGGATTCTTCCCATTTTCCAATGTGCAAGTGGCAGGTTGTCCTTCTTGACCAATACCAGAGTGTTGATCGGCAATGCTGGATGAGGGCATTTCCATTTTAATCTTGTTTGCAATTCCGATATACAGGGTGTTTGAAAATTATCGGCTAATCGATC